CCCCACTACTACTCCACATGTATATACAACCACAACAATAACAACACCAACAACAGTGACTACAACATTAGCTACAACAAAATCAACAACAATTATTACTACTACCACTGGGGAGATAGTTTCATCTTCTACCACACAACAGACTACAACACCAGAAAAGTCACCTGTACCCCCATCACCTCCCCCCCCAACTGTACCCACTACTACAACTGAGCCCCCCACTACTACTCCACATGTATATACAACCCCAACAATAACAACACCAACAACTGTACCCACTACTACAACTGAGACCCCCACTACAACTCCACATGTATATACAACCCCAACAATAACAACACCAACACCAGTGACTACAACATTAGCTACAGCAAAATCAACAACAATTATTACTACTACCACTGGGGAGATAGTTTCATCTTCTACAACACAACAGACTACAACACCAGAAAAGTCACCTGTACCCCCATCACCTCCCCCCCCAACTGTACCCACTACTACAACTGGAGTGGGAAGTTCAACAACCACGCCTCACCAGACTGAGTCTACTACATTAGAAACACCAATAACTGGGCCCCCTCCTACAACTGTTCCACCCCCAAAAACCACACCTCAAGTTGTTGAAAGTACTACATCTTCCTTCCAGAGTACTTCCACAGTTCAAGGCCAGACCAGTACAGTCAAGTTAACAAGTGTTCAAACTACAACTCGAGCTACAACTAACAAGCAGACTTCATCCACATCTCCCACCCAGTTGTCTTCTACAACTGTAAAACCAACAACAACAACAACAAAACATACTACTCCAACAACGGAACCTCCAACATCAACAACACATATTACAACAGAATGCGTCTGCATTGTTAATGGCACAATATATAAACCAGGTAAAGCACAACCACACATGTTTAACCTTAAACTTTATTCTTTTGTGTGTTTACAGATGTGTCTATTCTATTTCTCTCTCAGGTGAGATAATATTTGATAGGAAAGACCTGGGGGCAAATATATGTCTTACAATGATTTGTTCCGATACTTGTGAGATACACAACACAACTGATTCCTGCACCACAACTACGCCAATGCCTACAATTTCCACTACCCCAAAACCTGGATGTCCTGAGTGGGACGCAGATGTAAGAATTGTCTCAATATACTTGAATTTACAGTTTTTTTTTAATATTGCAAACATCACAGAATTTTAAAATGTTTGTTTTTGTCTGTCCACCTATCTTTCTCTAGGAAAATGAGATTTTTTATTTCTGCAACTGCACTATGGCCAAATGCATTGAAAATAACACAATTGAGATTGTTCCATATGAATGTCCACCCCTCAAGAACATAACTTGTGCAAATGGAAAGAAGCCAGTTCTGGTTTATGATGAGTACTACTGCTGCCAACAGTATGCCTGTGACTGTAAGCCATTTCTTCTTTAAGGGAATACTATATGTATTAAATCAAAAATGTATCTTATTTTTAGACATCAAGTGTTCCTGTTTTTTTTTTGTCAGGTGTGTGTGAAGGCTGGGGAGATCCTCATTACATCACATTTGATGGACTCTACTACAGTTACCAAGGAAACTGTACCTATGTTCTGATGGAAGAGATTACAGCAAAACATAAACTAAAGATTTATATCGACAACGTCTATTGTGATCCAAATGAAGATGTTTCTTGCCCGAGATCACTGATAGTGTCCTACAGAACACAAGTTGTCAAACTCATAAATTACAACCTCATGGGAACAGCGCAGTTGGAGGTAAATTCATATATAAAGTTGTTGATCTGCACATGTGTAGATGGAACTGTGGTAATGGAGTTTTTTGTATTCCTGTTTAGAACATAAAGAAACAGTAAACATCATAGTTTAGTTGTAGCTCAATATATATCTCATAACACACTGTTCTGTCCTCTCTTATAGGCCCTAAAGGATGGTACACGTCTGAAACTTCCTTATTCACAATATGGCGTTAAGGTCCTGAGTTCTGGCCTAAACATGGTTTTGGAGATCCCTCATTTAAGAGTTGTTGTTACATTTGGAATAACTGGCTTTAGTGTTACTCTCCCATACGAATTCTTTGGCAATAATACACAGGGCCACTGTGGTAAGAAAATAGTATCCTGTCATTAATATCCTCTGTGTATATAGTGACAGCATTTCTGTGGTGACAGAATGTATTTTTTATTATATTTTTCTTCCCATATTGTCAGGAACATGCAACAACAACCGTGCTGATGACTGTATGTTGCCTGGACATCAGCTTGTTGAAAGTTGTGCAGTCATGGCTGACTACTGGGTTGCAGAAGACATATATCAACCCAACTGTAAAAAACCATCTGTCCCGCCCACCACCGGACCTGAGCCTTCACCAAACCCAACTGTTACTCCATGCAGGCCAGACAGCATTTGTGACCTTCTCTTTGACAGGTAGGTGTTCTCCACTCTACCTATATTCCTCACAAACAGTTCGATCCCCCTCCATCTGGCAATTTTAAGATGTCATTTCCATGACATTGGATTTGTTTTTCTTTTGCTTTCAGTGTCTTTGCAGAATGCCACGCGTTTGTCTCACCAGACAATTTCTATAGAGGTTGTGTCTTTGACAGCTGCCATGTCATTAACCCAATGGTAGAGTGCACAAGTTTGCAGACTTATGCCGCTGCATGTGCTCAGGCTGGAATTTGCCTTTACTGGAGGAACCATACCACCATATGTCGTAAGAAAACTGTCATTTTTCTGTTGGTGTCAATTGATAAAGTCTGAGAAGCTTGTCTGAAAACAGTAGTTCTTAGATTGGTCCACATGCCCCAAAAGTGGGTTACAAGCTTCAATTAGGTTGAGGGACAGGATAAGAGGGGTGGTTTCTGCTCAGCCTGGCTTCTTATGTGTAAAGCTTTGGCTTTTACTTTTCATCCAATCTTGTTTGTTTCATAAAGAGATGAAAACATAAGTTTTTATGTTTCTGTTGTAATGTAGAGCCAGATCTGAAACACAAGCTCTATTCTCATGCTTTTGTGTAATCTTTCTTCACTTCTGTTGTTCCTCTCACTATTTTTCTTTTCCATGGTAATTCATGAAACAAAAAAACAAAAGAAATGCACAATGCAAGAAATACCAACAAAATCAGACAGCAGTTCATAATGTTTATATCCTAAACACGGACTGATGCCACTCAATCAGTCACTCAATGATCACTTGCTCAAGCAGCAAGTGATCACTGAGTGGTATTCTCTCTCATTTGGCAACGACAAACTTTTTTTGTTAACTGAATTGATTGAAAAGGGAGGCATTCGACAACTGAGGTTCCACTGTACACACACACACATATATATATATATATATCAAATATATACTTTCAAAAAATAATCTCAACTGAGTTCTCCTCTTAACCAACAGAAAGTGACT